AGGTGCAAGCTCTCTCCAAACTGCTCTTACCCACAATTCACCGCTCCCCAAATCAGAGACACCAACTGCAGCAAAAGCAGTTGCCCCTGCAGTCATCTGCAGGGCAAGTATCCCCATTCCTTGCCTGCTGCCATTTCTTGAGAGCTCTAGCTGTTGCCCATCTCTTGCCTCCCTCTGCCAAGAAGGCTGCATGATTGCAGCCCTTTGTGCCCTCTAGCCCCACTCCTTGACTGCTACTCCTGGAGTGGAAGACTACACTGCTTCTTGCTCCTCCTCAAGCCTTCAAGGAGCTGTTGGGGAAATCTGACAATTCAGAACTGTTTTCTTGGATATGCTTAGCCTTTGGGCATATCCAAAAATTTAGAATTCCAGGAATCACAAGGGCACAAGCTGGACTCTCCCAGCCTATAGCCTCAGCAAAAGGGCCAGGGCTGAATGAGCTGCAGATAGAAGCACTCCTAATCACATATCAGTTCCTGTTCCTAAAGACATCTCCCTGTCCCAGCTTGTGCCATTTAGCTGCTGCCCCAACTGTTCTGGAGGCATACTGCAAGAGGGGGTTCAATCCTCACTGCTTGCACAGTGATTCCTCCCCAGACAGCCCTCTGCCTTGCCACCTGCTTCAATCCTTGTATTTGGTCAAGGAGTCCCATATTCCCATCCTGCATAGCAGCGGGGCTACCAGAGCCCAGGTGTAGGGGAGTGGGTAGGCCAAAGCTACTGCCACAACCCACTTAGCTCACATGTGCTTCTGGCCAAATCTGGTGCTGGGGGAAGGGCCAGCCATTGGTACAGGCACACTAAGGGTCATTCTAGTTGCAAAACACAGCTGGGGGGGGTGGGGGGGCAGGCATGGAAATGGAACTACACACAGCACAGTAGAGACTCATATGGACTGAGACACTGCCTGCACCTCCTTCTTCCCTGACTTCTAGGGAGGGAGAAGAAAGCTGTCTGAGAAGGGTTGGGAAGATGCACGTCCATGGGTGTGTGTGTTGTACACACAGAGTGGGGATGCTTTCCATCAGCAGGACCCTTTCATCCAGGCCTCAAACAAAGACAGGACCCAAGAGGTGGGGGTGAGTGGGATCCTCCCAGTCCCTGGAATAGCCCAACCCTGGCCAGGGGAGCAGGCAATTCCACGTGGATTCTTCCTGCTTTCTTGCTGGTGGAGAGAACTGTAGCTGAGCCCCATGCAGTCGGGCACTCCTCTGCAGGTGCTGTGGTGCCCCTCGCGTGCTGGGAAGGTTGGGGACTGGCGTGGAGTCCTTGCCGAGGAAAGCAGGAGCGGTGGAAGAAGGGATGGTGTGGAGGAAAAGTCGGAAGGTACAACACATATATCCAGGTGATTGTAGTGGAGGGGAAAGAGGGAGTCTCGGGAGGCATTTAAGCCTAGTGCACAGAGAGGAGAAAGACACAATTTATAAGGCCATAGTGAGGATGGAGGTAATCCCAGGAAGCAGACATGTGCAATTCTCCAGATTGGGCAGAACAAGAACACCTCTGCTCTGCCACTGGGGACGTGCCACTCTTGGGTGAGGAGGAAGACTTGCAGCACCTCCAAAACACTGAGCTCAAGCATACTGGACAAGGTCTAGTCAAACAGGGTTGTCTGGGGAGGGCTGGGACTAGCAGGCTGGTCATGCTGGGAAGTGCCATGTCAGGTACCTAGTATCCCAGTACTTACTACCCCCATGAACAGGGAGGGATCTGCAAAAAAAGTTCTTAACTACACAGGCTCTGGGTTTTGTCTGTTTGCAGTAGCAGCCTGTTGAGGGCTCGCTCACCTCACAGGGAGAGCCTGGAGAGTTGTTCCCAGGTTCAGAGGTGGTCAAGCCTGCACCCCAAGTGTTGCTATAGTCCCATGGGGTGGCTCCAGATGGGGCACCACTGGATCTCCTGCCTCACATGGAGAAGGTGCATATTCTGTATCAGTGGCCCCATCACCCAGGGGCTTGGTCAGCCACTGGAACGAATGCCCATAAACTGAAGCTGCAACCCCCTTCTAGAACTTCTGCTTTGGCTCTCTGGCTCCTGTGACAGCTCCTGGTTCCTTGGTTCTCCAGATGATTGGGGGCACCAAAGCAAACATAGGCTAAGCCTCCAGATCTATCCTCTTTACATAAGGTATATACCCTTTCAGGCCCTTGCATGAGTCAGAAAGACTAATGTCTCTTTGTAGCAGCCTTGGATTTTCCCATTGACCTTCCTGCCCAAACTCATTACAGGGAAAGCCTGCAGCATTATCTCTGGATAATGGCAGGACAGCAGTAGATGGACTGGGGTCTCTGGCATGGCAGGAGGCTTAGTGCTTCTGCCACTTGAAGAGTAGGCAGGCTGGGGTGAAGCAGCCTGCAGGTGTGGCCTGGGCTGATTGCACTCATCTGACCCAGGAGGAGAGTTGGGCTTAGGGAGGATAAGCCCAGGCCCCAAGATGAGCCAGTTATAACAGCTTGGAGCCTGCTGAGAGAACACAACCTCAGCAAGATGGCTCCTGCTGCAGACAGTCAACATGGAAGGTAACACCTCAAGCAGTCTGGATGTTTGGGGAGGAATTAGAGGGAGGAGGAGGTTCCTAGGGACCCAGGGAGGGGACAGGAGCCCAGACTGCGAGGCTGAGAATGTGTGACCAGCAAAGGTCCAGGAACCCCAGAGGAGGGGCTAAGTGGAAGAGAACATCAATGAGGATGCTACCTGCAAGGCATGGGGCATGGTGTAGGAGTGGAGCAGAGCAATGCAATTAGCCCATAAGGCAGTGACCATGGCACCTGCTGGTCATTTGACAGAGCAATTTAGGAAGCCCTGGGACAGACTCCCTGACATAAAAGTAAAAGACAGCAAGGTGTGGCAGGTGACTGAAGGGGGGATTGCCCACAAAATGGGACTGAAGGAATTCCAGGAGTTTCAGGGCCACCCCTGAGAGGACACCCCATCACATCTGGTACTCAATGGTTTTCTGGGCTCACTGACTGGTTTACTGGAGGAGATAAAGGCTTTGGCCCCTGGCTTGAACAGAAAACAAGTAAGTCAGAGTCAGCACTAAGGCCTGGTATAATCTGGATGGGGGGGGGGGCTAAGAGATAGCA